CTAGTTTTTTCACAAGGGGGAATATCTCTTGGACTTTCACTTTTGCTTCCTCTTCTCTGACTTTGAGAAGTCAGGTAATTACAGGTAATTGTGAAATTAACATTTAGAAGAACCTTAAAATCCTAAGACCACAAGGAGGTTATAAGGGAAACCTAGTTATGGAGGAGAGATTTTCTAGCCTGGATAAGCTGCTTCTCAAAAGAGCTTATGCATTGTCCGGACTAGTCATCACTGGTAATGTTGAGAAATCATTATAAGACTGCAGAGATTTCCATCCCCAAGACTGAAAGTGAACACATGTTCTGATTTTTCAAAGACCAAGGAGAAGATGAATTGCACAAATGTGTGACCAAGAAAGATGGGGTGGTTTGCCAGCAAGAGGTCAAGCGGGGACAGCTGAGAAGAGGAGGCTGGAGCTGGTGGTTGGAACTCGCTTGAGATCGCTGTGGAAGCCAAAGCTCTGAGGGAACATGAGCTTAGTGTCCTCCCTGAGCGTCATTTGGAGACGGAGTCTTTAAAAAGGTGGTTGGTGAGCACTTAACTACGAAAGTGGAGGTCACTGTGGGTCAGGGTGGCCTCATGATTAACAGTCCTGCCAGCCAAGACTCACTTCACTGGACTAACAAATACAAGAAATGCAGTTGGCTTGAAGGACACGCTCTCCATCTGAGCAGAGTTTTGACAGTGTTTTCAGTCCTAGCCTTGAGGACCGCGATCCACCAAGATCAACTTAACATTATTGAAACTGATGACTAAGGGACGGATGTGCAGCTGGAGTATGTTTCTCATAGTCTCCCTCTGGCCCTCCTGTTGGCCATCTCAGCTGGGGAGACTTGGACAAGGCAAGGGATAGCCTGCTGATGAGGGGTGCACAGTAGTGATTAGCGAATACATTGAATGGCACAACTGAGACCAAAAGAAACAGGAATGAAAAAGAGAAAAGAAGGAACAAGGTCCAGAGGAGACTTGCTGGCCTGGATCAGTGGAATGAATCTAACAAGATGGAGACCGATAGCAGCAAAGTGCCACTTTTTGCTCAGATACACCAGCCACTCAAGTACCAGCTTGTGGGGACAGGGCTGATTGATGGTAAAAACAAAAATAACCAGACACCAAAACCAACCAACCAAACAAAAACACACACAAAAAGCCTCACATAATCTCACACCTCACACAATTACAATACAAATGAATGTTGACGTTGAACATGACAGAAATGGAAATGACCTTACTTTGGACCTCATTTTATGATTGCATTCATTATAATAACAGAGAGCACGGTAACTACTTAAAATATTCTTCCATATTTATAAATGCACATCCTCAGTTAAGAGCAAAATTTGGTAAACCATGTAACTTTTGGTTTGGAAAAAAACAATTGATGGAGTGTGAGTGATATCCGAAACTCTACTGAACAGATCACACCTGCAGAGTTGTGGAGGTTTGTCCCAAGCATCCAGTATGTAACATGTTTTCAGAGAAAGACCACTATGGTGGTTAGGAACCAAAAAATGAACGGGTAAGTGGGAGAAAAGGAAAAGAGGACAAATCACTAGGACCTGGTGGAGATAAGGAGTGGGGATAGGAGGAGAGACACAGCAGGCTAGAGGGATACACCTGTACTTGATGAGTCACATTCCTGGGTGACTCTTTGGTGTTTCTGTGCCAAGACTTCTGAGTACCGCTAGTGATGACTCGCATGCTATAGCCACTGTACTTGATCTCAGAAAGAACCTGCGTCATAGCACCCTGTACTTTCCCTCTGTGACATTCAACACAACAATAACTAAATAACTATGTGAGCGCTTATCTCTCTGCCCATCTAGATGCTAAGTTAACTCCGTGGGGACAAACACTGTGTTAGCCCCTGTCATCCCTGTATTCTTAATGCCTAGTGTACAGACATAACGAGCATGTACTAAGCACTCTATCAACATACTTGAGTGAATTTTTTTAACCTTGCTCAGCAATTCAATAACTGCCCTATATTGTGGAAATTTTTAAAACAGAAAATGCAATGCAAAGAAATCATGCGTTTCATGTTAGCAAAAGGACATTGCAGCCTGCAAACGAAAGATACGTATCTCAATACAATATAAGGAATAATTTTGACAATTGAACACAGTTCATAAAGCAGATTATCAGGTAAATCTCATCACGCTCATAGGATATGTCACATTCTCTCCCCATAATGCATTAAGACGATAATAAAATGATAGCATTTTCAGCTTTATAGCAATAAAGTTGAAAACTTAAATGTTCAAAATTCTAGAAAAATGTAACTGACTCAAGAAGAAATAAACTATAAAAACTGAGTTAGTTGTAAAAACAACAACAACAAAAAAAACAAAAACTGAAAACTTTCCCCAAAGAAATGCCTGTGCCCTGATGGTTTTATATGTTAAATCTAACAATCAACAAGTAATTTCAAACTATTACAACTCTTCCAGAGAACAAAGAAAACAAACTTAACTCATTTTTTTGAGACTGCCTAACTTTAACAACTAAATTATCCAAGGAGAATAAATCCTATTAAATATAGGGACAGACATCTTAAACAGAATATTGACAAAACAATCTAGCAAGCTATAAAGAATAATAATCATGAAAAAAATGGATTTATCCTAGTAATACAAACCTGGATCAACATTAGAAAGATCAGTGTATTAATTACCAGTGAAAAACCTGTATGATTATCTTAACTGATGAAGAAGAATCATTTGATCAAGTCGATATCTATTCCTGACTTACTAAAAAAAAAAGATCCTTAGCAGTGAGGGATAGAAAATAACTTTCCTACACTGATAAATAATATCTATCAAAAAAAAAAAAAAAAAAAAACGAGTTGAAACTCAGTATTATATTTGATAGTGAAAAGCTAAAAGTATCCTGTTTAAGACCAGGAGTAAGAATGCTTTCTATTACAACCCCCATTCAGCTTTGCGTTGGCAGTACTAAAGGCCAGCTCAATGATATAAGAAAAAATAAAATGAGACCTATGAACATTATAAAGGAAGAGGCTGTTATCCTTCAGAGCTTATTCATTGTCTACCCTGAAAACCTCAGATCTCAAAGAATATTTAGATGAATTGTTAGAATCGATGAGGGTTTATCAAGGTTGCTGGACACAACATAAATATTCACATCACTTGTATATCTATATGCCGGCAATTGTTAGATCACACCACGCTTTTAGAAAATATCTTTCGCACAAGTCCCCAAAATATAAAGGATTAGTAATGAATAGGAAAAAAATTGGTGAAAAGACTTTATGGGGAAATTTTAAAAGTATATTGAAAAATAATAAACAAGATAAAAATAAATGAAGAGTTATAACACTGATACCAATGTTAAAGATGTGCCTTTCACCCTGGAACCATTACTGAGGACCAGCCTGAACTGTTGGGGTCCAACCTTTACTTGGTCCTGGACTTGCAGTCACTCCTCGTTCTCAGCAGGGATGGAGCATCAATTTCCATCACTAACCTCAGAATTCATGGATATTACTCACCTGGAGATTCTTGAATCTGTCTCTGAGAAGGGTGACGGAGCAGGAGAGCAGGTGCTGTGTTTCATCTTTCAGTAAAATGCTTCTAGGAGCATGTGCATTTAAAAACACATTTTAAACATTTCTATGCAGGCACTGCTGCAGGATCACAGCTGCACAACCAATTTTTTTACACCAAGGAATATCTCACCCATGATGAATTCAGCAACCTTATTTTTCATTTGTGCATATCTCCCCCCTTCGTATTTCATTCCTTAAATATGCCATTTGTGCCTATAAAGCAATGCCCATGACAGTGAGATGCCACTGTCTTTATCTCCAAAGTGGTGACAGCTAATTTATTACTTTCATTTTTATCTGCAAGGAGTTTGTGGAGCAAACTTACAGTCTAGAACTCTGTAATTAACAATTCCCTCTGATCTCTTCATCAGTATGTCTAGGACAGGCTGAGTCGTGGAGAACGTATTTTTGTTAGTGTTATCTAGATCAGGGCGGGGGAGGGCAGTGACCAACTATGACTGAAGAACTAAACAAAATAAAAAATGGCACTTCCCAAAGCTCCTGCATTGTATTTATTTTGAAATATTCTAATCACAGTGTGTTGATTGGTGCGGTCGAATTGTACCAATTGTCTGCTGATTTAGCTGCAAGAAGACATACTTTGGAAGATAACAGTGTTATATAATATAACATTAAATTATTACATTATATTTTATTTATTATAACATTGTTATAACATTTTATAACAGTAAATGTTAAATAACTTAGTATTAAGCTAGAAGCAACTCTCAGCCATGAGTCTTGAGTCTTTGTTTCGTGTCTAACGATACTTATCCTCTGCCTGTTCCTTGATATGTGATCCTGGCACTGTCTGCGGTGAGCTGGTCCAGAGCTTCAGCAAGCAATCCTATTTAGCGTTACTTTGAGGTGCAATTCTGGACATCTAAAGTTAAGGGGTCATGAGGCTGGCGGATGGACTTGGGAAAGGATTGAATGCAGGCCTCTTTATCAAGAGACAGGAAACAAAGGTTGTGGAATACAGTTCACGTTTTCAGCCGTATCAAAAGCCTTACCTTTTTGCTTTCGGTCTCTTCATAGTACTGTCATGACTTACCATCCCAACCTGTAAAAATATTCTGTGGCTCAGATGGCCCAGAATTGATTCTTGAAAGGTTTTTTTTTTTTTTCCCTTTGGTTTTGTTATGTCTTCTTTGTTGCTGTTTTTAATCTGGGAGGATCACTGTCATTTGTTCTTTTGTTAGATAATCTGCCTTTGATCAAACATCATTACCAACATTTGACCTAAGTGGAGTCAATTATTGCTATTTTCTCATGCTTTAGTGGTAAATTCAATCTGGACAAGTTTATTAAAAGCAAATTAAAACTAAAATTAAACTTGAGGTTACTTTCTTTATTCCAGTAATTTAAACAGCACAGAGTAAAACAGATACATTTCCATTGTTGATTCTGGTTCTTTTCCTTTTTCTTTCAGCCAGAACTTTATACGATATTGCCCACTGAAGATGGAATTCAGCATGAAGGCCATCTTGGGTTCCATCAAAGAGATCACTGAAAAGCCAAAGGGCCTCTAGGATGTCACACCTCATGATGTACAGAGGGCGCAATGCACTCTACAGAATTGGGCTTGCAAAGTAAAGAAGGCGGACAGAGTTTCCTCTCTTACTGGAATCTTCTGGAAACCATAGCCATGGGGTATTCCCGAATGCCTCACATCCTTTAAGCAATGTTTAACGGCCACCTGTTGCATGAGGACTCATCAGGGGAAAGGACCATTTCACGACAACCTAGGACCCTGGCCCTAAACTTCGGTGTCCAGGCTAGTGGGGCTGGGCCATGTGGAGAATTTGTTTTGCCAGGACAGGAGGTCTTGAGGGCCCGGAATCCAAGAATTTCCAGGAGGTCCTTCACCATATTCCTGCCAAGTCCGTGGCCACCACACCACAAAATGGCAGAGCCCAGGTTCATATTCTCGATGCGGATCCCATGCCTTTTTCATTGTGCTGACTCTCTTTGCCATAGTGGGGCTTTTTATGGCCTGGTAGGGTAAGGGCCTCAGCGTTCTAGCCGCAGGTGATGGAGAGACTACCTGCCTTTGGTTCCTCGAATCACTGACCTGGGAGCCCCATCACGTGGGGCCCCAAGCAGAGACCCCAGGTAGCCACCTCTGGGATGTCCTAGCTTAGGTGCTGCTGAGAGTTTGTCAATACTTGTATCTCCCCTCTGCCGTAATGATCAATGTGTCCAAGATCACAGACTCCAACCACAGCGCATGGAAACAATGACTTATCCTATGACTGCCATAAACGCACTCCAGCGTCTCAAATGTATTTCATCGATCATTCTTTAAGGCACAAAAGACGTGTGTCAACGTAGAAACAGTCTCTATTCTGCGGAAGAAACTCCATGAATGTGTGTACTATTGCCTCTCAGGCAAAGATGCCATTTTCCTCTTTGCGGGGCATCGATGTTTTGCACCAAGCCCTCTCTTCTTAGATAATTGCACTTTACACTTCGGCATCTACGTTCTGAAGGCTTGATGCTGAAGTTTCTACTGCCCTTCCACGAGGAGGACAGCCTGTGGTCCCCACAATGAGATCTGGTTCTTTCTGCTCATTTGTGGAGGGACGTGGAGAGCAGGGAGCTGATTTGCAGAAGGACCACTTGGTAGACAGGTAAGAAACTCCGCGTTTATTTAAATGTGAGCTTAACTGTGGCAAATATGGAAAAGCCTCTGGGAAGGTTTCTTTTACAGAGCACATTTCTGTTGCCTAGGATATGACTCCTTAAAGTCTGTCTGAGTAGTCGGAATTTACAAACAGGAACCTTCCCTGTTTCGCATGGTTCCGTGTTGGCGCGTGTTTGAAATGCCCTTTGAGTTGCTAATTATTTTGTTTGTATTCTGTGCTCAAGCAATCACATGGGAGGGTTTTCACCGTGGTATTTTGGCTCCTAGAATGGTAGGTACACGAAAAGCTTTGATTCTCATCCAAGAGGTATCATGTGGGAGTGAAATCTCCAAAGAAGCAGTGGTAGGATGCCCCTTTGCTGCTGTATTGTTTTTTTAATGGAACCCACGTTCAGAATTCCCCAAGGAAGTAGCTGAGACAGTGATCTGAACCTTACTTCAAAAGGGCTATTCTCAAGTTGCCTTGAGCATATTAATGTCCAGAATTATATAGGAGCTGCCGTGTAAAGCTCCAGGATCAGCACCTATGTAAATGGAGCCACCAAGTGGCCCCATGAACTTGGACCACCATCTTGTTGGTGGTGCAGCCTTGACCCTAGGGGTGCAAGACTGGGGCTGCATCTAGAAGTTTCTGTGACATCTATTGACCCCACCCATCATAAAAATCATTCTCTCTTTTCCTCTAGTCTTATTTTATGGATAAAAGCTTGGCTTGTTAAGTGAGTACGTCTAAATTAGACCCTGAAATTCTGAGTTTGGAGACACCAGGAGAGCAATGGTTATTCTCTTCTTTGAAAACATGAATAATTATTGTCTGGGGAAGTTTCATTTTAGAAGGTGAATGCAAAGAGGCCCAGCACGTATGGCCCAGTAGGAGAAGCCCCGTCTACTCTGCATGCTGGATGTATTCTTTCCACTCTCAAATGCAGTGTCAGCCCATCTTCTGTGCACTGCCCACTCCCCTACCCATGGGGGACCCTACAATGATATTTTCTGCCTAAAAGGACATATTTATTTTAAGAGGCCCTTTGCAGGTCCCTTCTTGCATTCTGCAGAGTTCCACGACACTAAGTAAGTGCTGTATCCACCTTTACCTGTAAATAGCAGCATACCTTCCAAAACCTGATTTGACAATATGGCTAAACGTTGGATGAACAGAGCTCATCGCTGACTTAAGTCAAAATCTGTTGTCTAGAGCTACGGGTGTTTAGTAAAAAACTTGTAAAACGATATAATTTTTTTCCGTTCAGATTTGCTTAAACAGGCGAAAGTACTCTGTGCTTGGAAAGTATGATTATACCTTTCCTGTTACCAGATGCAATAGATTGTGTGCCTTAGCTGTGAGTAGGGTTTAGAGGCTAATTAGCTTTTGCAAAGATATCTGTTCCAAAGAGCTGGGAGATCTGCCTTTGTTCCTAGAATGGGCCTCCCTCCCGTGGGGACATTCTTTCATACCCCCTTGGTTTCTCACCATGTTAGAGTCACCCTTGATACAGCTTCCAAGAGACGGTGACCCCTGTGGGCTTGGGGGAGGTGGATCGATGTTTTGCACCAAGCCCTCTCTTCTTAGATAATTGCACTTTACACTTTGGCATCTACATTCTGAAGGCTTGATGCTGAAGTTTCTACTGCCCTTCCACGAGGAGGGAGGTGTCCACAGGCCATCTGTGGACAAATGAGGTGCAGCGCCCATGCCCACCTCAAGAGCAAGTGCCTTCAGGGGAGTTTCTGTGTGTGGCTGGCTGGTTGGTAATCGGGTATCTCACCTTTCTGTGATTTTGGAGGCGTCCACACCCTCCACGTCCACATGGAGGGGGTTTTTCACAGATGCTTTGAGGACCAGGCTGTCTGTTGGAGCCCTGCCGGGGGTTGAAGAAGCGTAGTCAGTGTACAGGGCAATGTACCCGTGGAGCTGCTGGTCTCAGTAGATCCTGGGAGTGAGTCAACAGCGTTAGCCAGTGCGGGGATGCGTGGGCACAATTGTGGTGATGATGAAAGATAGTCTTTGGCACATAAATCATCAAGGAGGGAGACAGGCTAGCAACAAGAGCATGTTTGGGGTGGGGCCCTGGCAGCAATATCTGAAAAGCTCCCCGGGTGGTTCCAGCATGCGTCTGAGGCTGAGGCCAGTGGACCAGGACTTCCTGAGAAGCCCCGGACAGCTGGGCCCATCTGGTCATTGCGCCTGCCTGTGTCTCCTGAGCTCCGGCCCCTCCGCCCTGGCTCCTGACCCAGCCTTTCGCTGCTCTCCCATCTCCAGGACATTTACCTTTACACTGAGGACCTCCACTCTCTCAGCCTGTTCACCCGCCGTCTCTTCCACCATCCGCCCTTCCCTGAGGCTGCCGCTACCCTGCACTGCTCCCCGCTGGGTGGCCGCTTATCTTTGCCCTGAGCACCTCCGGGGAACGGCACTCACTGAGCTCTTGCCCTTCTCACCCACAGGATCTTCTCCATCATTCCCCTCTAGCCACCTCCATGGCCATGCCTTGCATCTAAGTTTCATGCAGTGCCAAGACCCTCCTGAAATCCCAGATGCAAACCTCCCAGTCTCTAACTTACACTCCCTGTGGTATTCCCATAGGATGAAAACTGCCCTTCGGAGAGCTCTCCCCCTGGGCTTCCATGCCCTCTTCACATCACACTGTTTTCTCTTCTTAATCCTCTAGTTGTCCCTCATCTGTGTCCTTGGGGGTTCCGACCCTTGTGTCCACCCACTAAAGGTTGTTCTCATTTTCAACTGTCTTCTCGGGCAGCTTATTCAATCCGGGCTTCAAAAAGAGCAATCTTGTTCTGTACATTCCCGTAGCACCTTGTGCTGTGCTGAGACCTACCACAGAGCATTCACATTGTCTATTTACTTGTCAGTCTCCCAGCCTGAATTAGTCAAGTTCTCCAGAGAAACAGAGCCAAGAGGATCCCTATAGATACAGATGTAGAGATCAGGGAATTTGTGTCTATCTAGCTATAGCTAAATCTATTGCTATAGAGAGAGGTGGAGGCGGATTTTGATAAAGAGACAGACAGATAGATAGATGGACAGATTCAACAGAATTACAGTTAGCTGTTGTATAGATGAAGATCTGTTGTATTCATCTATCTAGCTAGCTAGCTGCATCTTTGTCTCTGTAGATAGATAGGTGTAGATGTAGCTATCGATAGGTAGTAGGGACAGCGATACCTATCTGTCTGTAGTTACATCTGTAACTGTAGATAGATGTACTTGTATCTATGTATCCATTTGTATCTATGTATCCATTTGTATCTATGTATCCATCAGGAGGTTTATTTTAAGGAGTTGGCTCATGTGATGGTGGCAGCTGGCAGGTCTGGTATCTGCAGGGTGGGCCGGAAAGCTGGAAATTCAGGCAGAGATTCTATGTGGCAGCCTTGAGAGGGAATTGCTTCTTCTTTGGGAAACTTTCATCTTTGCTTTTAAGGCCCTCGCCTGATTAGATACGACCCACCCACCATCCCACCATCCCCTGTCCAACCACATTATGGGAGCGTAATCTGCTTTACTCAGAGTCTGCTAATTTCAATGTAGTCACATCTAAAAAAAACCACATGTGGACTAACATTTAAATGACTGGGCCCCATAGCCTAGTCAATTGATACATAAAATTAACGATCACATCACACCACCCACACCACCCATGCCATCTCAAGTACTGAGAGCAAGCACCTTACCCAGCACCTCATGCGTAAATACTTTGTGTCGAACTCCTATACAACGGTAACAGTAGCAATGATCTCTACAGTTTACTGAGTTTATACTACGTACCAGGCTTTGTTCCTTGGCCTTTGCATGCGATATTATGTTGAATCCTCACAGCTATCTTTGAGGCAGGTAATTTTGCTTTATGTGAGGTGACTAAGTTCAAAAAATTCCAATTTATAACCCAAATGGATATAATCAGTGAGTGGCACAGCTGGGCTTTGATCCAGGTCTCTTGGATTCTCGCTATAACCCCGATACTCCAGCACTTTCTACTCTTTCCCTCACCTACATTGTTACATAGGGTATAATCCTAGGCTCAGATGGAAGACAAATGTGTCTTTTCTGCGTCTCTCGAATTGTTTCTGTAAATGATTATTTATGGACAACCTTTCTCCCCTCAAGTGTGTAAAACAAACAAAAAAATTCCTAGGGTTGCATTAAGCCTCTTATAACCCAGAGTCTCTCTCTTGACCCCCAGCTGCCTCTTGTTTTAAAACAATACTGGGAAGGAGATAAATCGATAGCTCTCTTGGCAGAGCCCTTACACGGGCTTTAGGGTGTCATTACCATAACATTATGCGTCAGGAAGCAGTTTTCCAAATGACACTTCAGTGACCCCAAAGAGCCTTAAATCAAAGAAGAGAGTCTTGGGTTGTGACCATTTAGTGCAAAAAACATGCATCGACTCCTGGTTTTTTAAATAATCAAGAAAACATCACACAGAGGACAAAGTTATTTAGCTTATGATTCTTTGGACTACTGTCTGGGTCCAAGTAGATGTCACTGTTTTCTTTTCATTGTTTCTTGTCAGTGTTTTCAGATCCAGGCCCTAAAATTGCATGGTATTATGAGGAAAAACAAAAACAAAAACAAAAAGTTGCATGGCAGTTGGGAATTCTTGACTGGAATGTTTGTAAAAGCGGGTTAGAAATGTCTTGGGGGATGGGACCGTGTCTTATTCAACATTGTATCCTGGGCTACTTGAACAGTGCCTCATTCTAAACACAGAGGAGCCCCAGACCCATTTCTTCAATTGAGTCATTGAATCCCCCAAAGTGGGGAATCAGGTCTTTGCATAACAAGTTGGTTTTCCTCTTTATCCAATAGCTTAGTTCTCCAGAAAACATATAGAATGTGCCTTTCTCATGTAGTTTCCAATACATTTTCCAGAAAATAAGATGTATGCTAATGCCATTTCAATTGAAAGAGGTTTTGACTAAGAGTATTACGGTCATTTGAAAAGAGTAACTTGCTCTTCATGTTAT